TATCCAGGCTTCACCAGAGCCTCCGGCTCCTAGTGGAGCAGCAGCAGCAGCAGCAGCAGCAGCAACAGCAACAGCAGCTGCTGCTGCTGCTGATGGCCGGCAGCTGAGCAGCAGCGATGCCTCTCAAGGCGAAGACAATGCTGAGAAGGTGGGGGGGCTGCATGCAGTTGGGGCTGCTGCTGCTGCTGCGGGTAGTTCTAGCAGCAGCAGCAGCAGCAGCAGTAGCAGCAGGAGGAGCAGCAGCAGCAGCAGCGCGAGTTCACCTGTCTGGGCTGTCCGTACACCTGAAGCTGCAGCAGCAGATAAAGAGGAAGCAAGAGCAGCAGCAGCAGCTGCTGCTGCTGCTGTTGCTGCTGCTGCAGCGGAGCTGGAGGAGACACTTCCTGGGATCGTAGGCCTCCGGCAGTGGAGACGAAAAAGAAGAGACAGCGGTGAGAGGAGACTGCACATACACCCCACACCTTCAGCTGTCTGTACACCGCACCGTGCTGCAGCAGCTGCTGCAGCAGCTCCTGCAGCAGCGGGCTGCAGCAGCAGACTGCATATACACCCCACACCTTCAGCTGTCTGTACACCGCACCGTGCTGCAGCAGCTGCTGCAGCACCGTGCTGCAGCAGCTGCTGCAGCAGCTGCTGCAGCATACGCACCCCACACTTTCAGCTGTATGTACACCGCACCGTGCTGCAGCAGCGTGCTGCAGCATATAAACCCCACACTTTCAGGTGTCTGTACACCGCAGCGTGCTGCAGCGGTGACACTCAGATTGGTTAGGCATTTGCTCTGCATGCGCACTGCTGTTTGTGTTGTGCCTGCTGCAGCAGCTGCAGCAGCAGCAACTACTGCAGCAGCTGCAGCAGCAGCAACTACTGCAGCAGCTGCTGCTCCTGTTGCAGCAGCAGCTGGCGAAGCAACAGCACCCGCGAGAAGCATGGCGACGGCCCCCTCGTGGGAGGCCCAGGGAGACGCAGCTGCAGTGCAGCAGCAGCAGCAGCAGCAGAAGGGGAGGGAGCAGCAGCAGCAGGAGCAGGTGCGGCAGCAGGAGCAGCAGCAGCAGCAGCTGAGTCGTTCTGAGGCAGAGGCGAAGAATACACCAGCGAGGGACACGGACGCTCCTGCAGCAGAGAAAGCAGCACCAGCACCAGCAGCAGCAGCAACAGCAACAGCAGCAGCAGCAGCAGCAGCAGCAGCAGAACCTGATGAAGCGGTTCCGCTTACACAGGCTCTCAGTGTAGGGGACGACGCAGAGAGGGCCCTATATGTGCTGCGGTCCTCGCGAGAGGAGTTGCTGCTGCTGCTGCAGCAGCAGACAGAGCTGCCGCAGCAGCCCCTCTCCGTTATGCTGGCGACTGCTGTTGCTGCTGCTGCTGCTGCTGCT